GTGAGTGGGCGGGTAAGTGGAACTGAGTCTCAAAAAGATCAGCCATGATCTTATTAAATGGCGGGGCAGGCTCGAGGGGCCAGATGGTCTACTCCTGCTCCTAGTTCTTATGTTCTTATACCTTCTAGAGGAAAGTCAAGACTGACAATGGCTCTTGTATCCATGGAGCTGGTTTCACAATACAGAATAGGATTTTGGATGTACTGCCAGAACTCTCCCATTCTACAAAAAGAATACTGATAATATCACACGCACAACTCATCTGCAATTAAGAGACCACAGTCTTTAGCGTTTATGCCCTAAGTCTTGCTATACAGAAAATAAGGCAGAAATAAGTGACATCCTGGAACAAAATCAAGCAGTCTTCAGTGCCTGGCAGAATAATTCAAGGTTGCAAGAAAAAAAGACAACATTCCAACAGTTCAAAGCTGATACTCAAAGACAAATCCAGGACATAAAAGACAAATGGTGAGAAGAGAAAGGACGAGAAATCCAAGAGTTTGATGTGCATCATGACATGGAAAGTTTTTCTGATGTCATCAAGCTATCCATAGACCAAACAGACAAAACCCCTTTCACATCCCTTTGTCTATTTTCAGCAAGCAAGGTACTGACCATACCCATCGAACCTGTGACTGAAAAACACACAATACAGTAACCTCACATTAGATGTGATTCTGCAATTGGACAACATTTGCTGGAAAATCCTGTGTGTGTGAAGAATTATGCTGATAACCTATTTAAGATTACCAGTGAGTGAAGCTCGCAGGCAGGCAGATTTTGTGTGCACTGTAAACTACTATTGTTAATACATGGTGCCCTATTCTTTGTGGACAGAAATCAACAAGCACAAGGCACTGTTTTAATTTGACAAAATAAGTGCCAGCCATTCACTGGTTCATTTCTCAGGACAATGCATTGGCCAATCAGACTCAACCTGCTCGTTTAAAATTTTGAACAAAGTTTGGCGGTTAACTGCGAATTAAAGCTAATGGTTACATTGGGAGATAGCAAGAACTGCAGATGCTGGAGTCAGACTCCTGATGAAGGGTGTAAACCCAAAACGTCGACTTTCCTGCTCCTCTGATGCTGCCTGACCTGCTGTGTTCCTCCAGCTCCACACTGTATTGATTAATGGGTACATTCTTTATGGCAACGTCCCTATCAGAGACCACTTGCCAACAAACCAGTAGTTTCCTTTCTCCTCTCATGCAATAGAAGATTTTGTTTTCCCCTTGAATTGGAATCTTCATAAAATGATCTGAAGAGTGAAAGATGAAAAGCTTTGTAAAATGAGCCTTTTTTCAGCAATCACTATCTTCAAGATGGGAGATAAATAATGCTATAGAAACTATCAATGCCTTTTGCTCTTGTCCCTAGCAGGAAAATCCTAACACGCTCTCCCAAATTGCCTACTTCCTGTGGTTAAAGAAATCCTGTCAAGGTCAGTCTGACTTTACTCCCAGAGCTCCCAGAGAGAAATCAGACACAGTGTTTGTTCTCAGTCAAATCCAAAAAACAGTTACGAGTAGCACTCGGAACTTTTTACTGAATTAACTGACATGACCCTGACCCGAAACATCAACTTTCCTGCTCCTCTGATGCTGCCTGGCCTTCTGTGTTCCTCCAGCTCCTCACTGTGTTGTCTCTGACTCCAGCATCTGCAGTTCTTGTTATCTCTGACCAAAACATTTTACATAATCACAGAAATGATATAGCACAGGAGGTTATTCAGCCCATTGCGCTTGCACTGGCTCTTCAAACGAGCATCATTACCTGATCTTCCACATTCTCTTGCACACAACTTATCTCCAGCATGATTTGAACATTTGATTGAGAAAACCCATAAGGCTCCATGGATTTCTCTCCAGAGATTTAGATATCTAAGGAATATCAATACCATCCTGCAAGTGCTTCATGGTGACATTACTGCAAAGCTGAGTTGGAGTTCTGAAACAGACACCTTCAATCCAGACTGGTGTCAAGCAAGGCTCAATGATAGCGTCCATACTATTTACAATCATCCTGAAGTGTTTGTTTACCTCATCAAAGACCTAAACTGTCTAGATGGAGAGTTCTTTAACCTCAGTCACCTCCATAGCTCAAACTAAACTGACCACCCATTGACATGATTTACTGTACACGGAGGAGTACTATCTCTTTGATCATTCTGAACTAGATTTGCAAGCCACTCTCAATTTCTCCAATTCTGTACAGTGGCTTGGCCTGTCCTTGAATAACGCCAGAAAAAAGCTCATGTCAACACAGACTTTGTCAGTCAAATATTTCACTTCATATGTATGTTGAAGGATAGACTCTGGAATACATATTTTCCAATCAACCAGTTCAGAGATGTTATTACACACGTCTGGGGCAGGTGGGATCCGTACCCAGGCCTTCTGGCTCAGACGTAAAGAAACTGACAATCTGAAATACGTTTAACGTTTCTCATACCTTGGGCAGCCAACTTTCTCAAGAGGCCACCATTGACAAAGAGGTCCAACACCTGATCAACCGTGCCAGTGTTCCATAAATTGAAAGGGGAAAAGAGACACTATAAGCAATAGGAGGGACTGATAAGGAGGAGAAATAAACAATAACAAATACATGTTAAAAGTATCAGATGTGCATATGTAATAATATCATTGGATCATATGATCAAGTCTTAGTTTGAACATGACTAGCTAATATAGTCATGTATACTAACTTGGAATGTGAATTATGCAACCATGGTTGGGTAGAGATAGGACTGCGTCTGTAGAAATGGTACTATGTGTCACTGTCACATAAAAGCACTAGAAACATTCCACCAGCTCTGTATTCTCTGGATTCAATGGGAAGACCATGAACAAACACTAATGTCTCCTCCTTGAAGTCAGCTTCAGGTGAAATACTTGAAAAATGATCTACGATGAACTGGATAATATCTGGGTGCCTGAAAAGCATTGCCTCCACCAGGTCCTGGTTTCTCAACTCTTAAACGGCCAGCAATCCAACGGGAGGACAAAGAAAGTGTTACCAAGACACTCTAACGCTCTTCTGGAAGCACAGAAGCATTGATATTAATGACTAGAAGGAGCTTGCTGCCTGCTGTTTAAAATAGTGGCACATCTATCAAGCTGTACATTGCTTTTTTGTCAAATGCCTTGATAATGAGTCAGAGCTGCAGTAGAGATGGAAAGTAAAGGAAACACAACTTTTACACTCAAAATCCCACTACCCTGTGGGACATCATGCCCATGCACCCAAGACCTGCGGGTCATGTCACAATTCAGTCACAATTAGATCCATATCAGAAACCATCAACCAAGAGTAGAGGTCATCCTTGAATCATGGCACAGCCACCAATGTTGATAATGACTCGTGGAATGCTGCAGCAAAAAAAGTTATAGTAAATCTGACTACAGCATTGGATTAATGTGTCACTTGTAGGCCAGATGAAACAGGTACTTATTAATAGAACATTAGAAAAATATTTAAATGACAGTTAATGCTAAGACTGACAATTTTTGATTGGATTTAGGTCAGCACCACAATTATTGGCAATTTGAAAACAAGTTTACAATTTCAAATGAAAGCACGTAAGTAAACAAGTTCACAAAGTCACAGCGCCCAATTCACATGCACTATATGCTACTGGAAACTGCAGCTGAAAATTTACAAATCACATTTCATATCCAACGTTTGGAAGTAGGGATAAAATTTACAGATTACTCAACTCGAAGGCTGTTGCAAACAATCACATACAGAATAATCAGATGCTGATGGGATTTGGACAAATCCATATATTTCAGGAAGTCAGGTTAAGAAACAGCAAATTACATTCAATATGATTAAATGTTAAATTAAGAGATTAGCAAAGGAAATAAACTATAAGTGGTCTTGCCCACAGGGCACAGATTGAATGGATTTGGGGATTCTACTGGACAGATTGTTGAAACCATCTAGATAGCAAACTGTAGTGATAAATAATAAGGCAACTTTGATCTGAATAATACGAGACTTAACAGTGAGCTATCCAAAGCATAAGATTTGACCCAAGTGGGAGGGTAACATGCAAATTCATGCCACATATTAAAAGAACCTTATGGCACTGGAATGGGTGTACAATAGGGCTGCCTGCCAAGAGACATCTAACTCAGTAGGAACATATAAAATTTGAGCTGGTTTGCACGAGCAAAAATTATATTATGATATTATTGGAGATACTCAAAGTACTTATGGGTTTTCATATGTTAAACCTTGAAACACTGCTTACCATGACACAGAATTACACGGTAGCATGGAATGCAGCTCTCAAAGGAAAGAAGAATAGTTCAAAAAGAACTGTTTAATTAAGAAGGCACTAAACATTTGAGAATAGAGGTGAGTGAGATTTGACAGTGGTTTAACTTTGAATGTTGGCAAGAGTGTAATGGGAAAGATGGCAGAGGGACCAGAGAAAAGAGTGACCAAGAGCCAGTATAAAATGTTGAGAGACAACATGGAGGGTCATCACCAAACCAGCCATTCACTTCCTGCCTCATGCAGATAGTGTCAAATGCATCTCTGGCTTGGACTACAAGAAGATCTGCAGAGAGTTGAAGACTTTCGTAGACAGCAGCATGAATAAATCAATCACTCACACTGAAAATGCCAAGTGCATAACAGAAACTGCTATGTATGCAGCATTTGCTTTGAAATGCCAGGAGAATCCCCCCACCATTTGGTGCCAAACCTCTAATGATAATAGTAATTTTATGGGGTAACTGATCTAGTTTTTAAACAGAAAAATCAATCACTGAATAAATGTAATGAACTGTATTTCCTGCTTTTTGACACAAGAGTTAGCCAGATGGACTCCAATAATTGTTTTTTTTTTCTCTTATACATTGATATATTCCATTACATTAGTGCTTACATTAGTCATTTCCAAGTATTGCAGCAAAATCAAATGGTTAAAAGACATTAAAATAAGTTTAGAAAAATCAGAAAAAAAAGTTTCTGAAAATTAGCCTTACATTCATAGCCCTTTTAATGAAAGGTATCTGAGTGCCACTGTCAAGATCTTCATTGATTATCAATCGTCTGGCCCACTGTCCAACCCGAACGACCCCGCTACCGTGAATCAGAACCATCAATTTGCTAGGGTTTGTAATGGCATCTTCGCTCATAAAGATGAAGCTCTTTGGTTCATCTTCTGTAGCATCCACCTGAATTAAAATAAAAGCAGAAAAGTTTTTAAAAATCATATTGGAGTGTATATTATTATAAAAATATGTAGAATCACAGAATGGTTATAGCATAGAAAGAGACTAATCAGTTCATTGTTTCCGTACTATCTCTAATCCTGGAAATACCTACTTCCGCAGCAACTTTCACCTGTACCCTACCAGCTGTTCTCGTCAGATAAATTTATCCAATTATCTTTTCAAGGCTACCATTAAATCTGCCTCCTGGATTTCAGATCTGAACTATCTGCTATATAAAAATATTTATCTTCACGTTGCTGCTGCTTCTTTTCAGATGACCTTAAATTGTACACTCTGGTTTTCAATACTTCAACCAAAGAGAACAGTTTCTCTCCATTTATCCTCTCCAGACTCATGGTTTTGAACAGCTCCACTGAACTTCCTCTCAAACTTCTCTGAAAATACCCAAGATTCTTCAATCAATCTTAGAATCCCTAGTGTGGAAACAGGCCCTTTGGCCCAACAAGTCCACACTGGCCCTCAGAGCATCCCACTCAGACCCATCCACCTATAACTCACGTAATTTACATATCCCTGAAAACTATGGGCAATTTAGCACAGCCAATCCACCCAACCTGCGCATCTTTGGACTGTGGGGGGAATCCACAGCACCAGGAGGAAACCCACACAGACACAGAGAGAACGTGCAAACTCCACACAGACAGTTACCTGCGGGTGGAATCGAACCCAGGCCCCTGGTGCTGTCAGGCAGCAGTGCTAACCACTGAGCCACTATCCTCATGATGTTTTTAAGCACTCTCTCTAAGCCTTTAGATAGAGTTCTTAGAAATAAACATACTATTCCAGAAGAAGCTAAACAAGTGTTTTATACAGGTTTATCATGCCTTGCTATTGTACTCTATGGCCCCAATTATAAGCCCACTTTCCTGGATACTTTATTAACCGATCTGTCAAACCTGGTGTATGACAACATGATTTTGTGATATGTGTGCACATCCAGCTCCATCCCTTTTCTTCTACAGCCCCTTTATTTTATATTGTCCTTTCTCTTTCTCCCTACCAAAACAAATCACGTCACACTTTGTTAATTTTGAAATGTCATTTGTTTGTCCATTCCACCACGTCTTTTTGAAGCTTATCATCACTATCCTCCTCATAGTTCACAATACTTTCAAGTTTTGTGTCTTTCTCAAATATTAAAATTGTGCCCCTTTGCATTCATATGTATTAGCAATATGTGTGAAGGAAAGTGACGTCCTGACATACTTCCTTAAGTTGGAAAAACAAACACTAACGATTCTTAACTGTACTGTCACAAAAAAAAACCTTCCACTGTCAACAAATATATTTGAAAGTTTAAGAATTATTATTTAAGATCTTATGTTTGGAACCAGAGGAAGTCTGATTTCAGAACATGAATTTCAAATTGAGTTTTGGACAACAGATCCCAGGAAAGATACATTGTACTTGAAATAGATATAGCACAGATTCTCCAGAATGATTTTAGGGTTTAAAAGTTAGATAGATAAGCTGCAAAATCTTGACTTGTGTTCCTTTGAGTTCAGAATTTGAACAGTAATCTAATCAGGCTTCTTCAAATGATTAAAGCAGTTGACAGACTATAAGTGCTCAAAATGTATTCACAGAAATTATTTCCTGCAATAGAATCCAGAACAGGAGGGCACAGTCTGAAAATTAGAGCGTAATCATGTATATGAGAGTTGGGAAGCACTTCTTTTTCACATAAGGTTAGTGTAAATACAGCATTTAGTCTCACAAAAGATGTAGATTCTGGTTCAAATGACATGTTCAAGACTGAGAATGGAATTTATTTTGGGTTAGGGATGTCAAGGGATAAAAACAGATAAACAGAGGTACAAATCAGCATTTAAATGACTCAAAGGGCTGAATGGCTCCTGTTTCTACATTGTTTTGGACTCTAAAGCCTGCATTTGATAAGATCATATTTGGTCCAATTGTGGCCTCAACATGATGTGACAAGGGAGTCAATCTCACTCAGCTTTAAAAATATTCATTCACCTAGCTTCCAAAGCTGGACAAAGTGTCCACAGACAAATAACCCACAAAGAAAAGGTTTCTCTTCATATTAGCTTCCACAACAAAATAATTTTATCTGTACCATATAGTGGTGCTTGGGATACATCCCGAAACTTGTGTTTGTGGTTCCATTTTAATGTGCTAGAACATTACAGCGTAGATTGAGACCCATTAAGCTGTTTTCCACAATTTCACAATCTCCTGCTTTCATTCATGTGATGCGGCAGAGGGTGTAAATTTGGAAGGTTTGTTGAGGAGCCTAGGTGAATTGCTGCAAAGCATGTTGTACATCGTACACTACTACCGAACATTGATAGCGACGGGTGTGAATGGGTGCCAGTTAAGGGAGCTGCTTTGTCTGGATGGTATTGAGATTCATGAGTATTATTGGAACTGCACATATCCCAGCAAGTGGAGAGTATTCCATCACTCTCCTTATTTGTAACTTGGAGATGTTGGACATGCAGAAGGAAGACCCGAGAGGAGTTACATGTACAGAATTCCTAGCTGCTGACCTGTCCTTGTAGCTATATGATTTATATGGCTAGTCCAGTTCATTCATTGGTGAATGACAACTCCCAGGATGTTTATATTAGAAGATTCAGTGATGATAATGCCATTGAATGTCAAGAGGAGGTGATTGGATTTTCACTTGTTGGAGATGGGCATTGCCTGATACGTGTGGAATGTTCCCTAAAAGGACATTAGTGAACCAGAAAGGTTTTTCTGACAATCGATGATGGATTCACCGTCATGATTAGATTCTTAATTCCAGATATTTATTGAATGCAAATTCCACCATCTGCCATGGTGGGATTTGAACTCTGGTCCCCAGAATGTTATCTGGGTCTTTGGATTAACAGTCCGCTGATAATACCACTAGGCCATTGCCTCCCCCTCAAATTTCATTTGAGGAGTCATGAATGATGCTGGGGCGTAGATGATTAATCTCCTATCTTTCTTTGTGTTTGGCATGATCAACTTGAAGCGAGCTTTCCCTCAGATTCACAGTGACTCCTATTTCACCAGATCTTCTTGATGCCACACTCAGTCAAATGCTCCTTGATAGCAAAGTTGACTGACAATTCTATCACTTTGCTAACAATTGCAAATAGACCAACACAGCAATAATTTACCAGGTTCGATATGTCCTGATTTTTGTGGCCAGGATATACATGAGCAAATTTTCACATTAAATCAGGTAGTTCCAGTGTTTTAGTTGGACTGGAGTAGCTTAGCGAGGAGAGCTAGTTATGGAGCACGAGTCTTCTGTCTTATGCTGGGGTTGTCACAGCACATAACCTTTGCAGTATCCAACGCCTTCAGCCATTTCTTACTTTCATGTGGAGTGACTTGAATTGGCTGAAGCATGGCATCTGTGATGCTGCAGATCTTGGGAGAATGTTGAAATGGATTATACACTCAGCACTTCTGGGTAAAGATTATTGCAAATGTTTCAGCCTTGACTTTTGCACTGATGTGTTGGCTTACCCATCATTGAAGATGTAAATATTTGCAGAATTTCAGCCTCATTAGTTCATTGTCCATCATCATTCACCACTGGATATGTCGGGACTGCAGAACCCAGGCGTGATGTGTTGACTTTGCTGCCCACTGCTTATGTTGTTTGGCATGCACATAGACTGATGTAGTAGCTTCACAAGGTTGATACCTCACTTTTACATGTGCATGCTGCTGCCCCAAGCATGCACTCTTCACTGAACCAGGTTTGATCCCACAGCGAAATGGCAAAGATAGAGTGGGGAATATGCCACATTATGAGGTTAGACTGGGAACTTAATAAATTCTACTACTGTTGTTGTCTCATTGCACCTCACAGATGCTCAGTTTTGAGATGCCAAATCTATTTGGACTCTTTTCTATCAGCATGGTGGTAGTGCCACAGATAGTGGAGGGCAACTTCAATGGGACACTGTGTCCACAGGTACTGTGTGGTGGTCACTCCTCCCAGTGTAGGTCATGGAGAGGTATGATAGGTTGATTGGTGACATTTTTCTCTCGGCTCCCTCATCACCTTCCAAAGACCCGGTCTAGCAGCTATGACCTTTAGGACTAAGCCAGCTCAGTCAGTCATGGTGTTATTGAGTTAATCTTGACAAAAGACTTTGAGCTCCCCTCACCCAGATTACATCCTGAGCCCTTGTCATCTTCAATGTTTCTTTCTTACTTGTGTTCAAAATGAAAGAGTACTAATTCATCAGGTGAGCGAAGTCTGTCGGTGATAAACAGCAGAAGATTCCCACATCTGATGCCATGAAACTGCGTGGGTCTGAAGTTAATGCAGAGGCCTCTCAGAATGGTGTCTCATGAACTTGCGGAACCCATCACCACAGGCAGCAGTTGAGGCCAAAACATTGTATAATTTCAGGAAATCACTTAAGGCTAATGGGATCAAAGGATGTGGTGTAAAACACAAACAGGTTATTGGGTTACATGATCAACCATGATCATAATGAATGGCAGAATACACTCGATGGACCAAATGACCTACTCCTGCTCCTATTTTCTATTTTTCTATATGTGGGACAACACCATACACATGGATTCATGCTTGACTGACAATATTGAATTGACTAGTTTCATTGTCATGTACTCAATGAGCAAAGTGAAAAGTTTATAAGTCACCATTTGCAGTGCCATCTTTGGTACAAAGTTACCTAGGTACAGCTTCTTCAGTTACAGATTAGTCACAGTGTAACAAATATCCAGCTGTTGCTTGATTAGTCTGTGGGACAATCTCCCAATTTTGGCACAAATGCCAGATATTAGTAAGGAGGACTTTGCAGAGTGGTCAGGGCTTTTTACCATTGTTGTCTTCAGTGCCTAGATCAATGCAGGTTGTCTGTCCAATTGTATTCCTTTACTCAGACTTTATAGCAGTTTAATACAATTGAATGGCTGGCTGGGCTCTTTCAGAAAACAGTTCAGTCAATCACAGTGCTGTCGGTCTGGAGTCGCATGTAGGTCAAATCAAACAACAATGTCAGATTCCCTTCCCAAAAAGGACCTTAGGGAACCAGATGGGATTTTACAGCGATTGATGATTCCAGTGTCAGCAGTCGACTGCATTAGATTTCCAGATTTATTCAAATTTCGCCATACGTTATTGGTGGGATTTCCAGAGCATTAGCCTGGTCCTTGTGATTATTAACTTCAATTCATTCACACAATATGGGCAGCACTGGCTAGGCCAGCATTTATTACCCAATTATTCAGTGAAATTGCCATGACTTCAAACTCTTCAACAGTCCTTTTTCTCCAAGCATCTAACATGCTTTTAAATAACATTTAAACTTCCAAAATTTCATGAATACAATAACATTAAATTTCTCTGCAAATGGCAACTGAGTAAATGTGCATGAACAGAGGTTTGCAATATTTCAGAAGTTGACTTACCGGGAGATGAACCTTCTTCAAATGACATTCTTTTTCTAAAAGTTCATAAACAAAGTGTGTGATAATCTGTAAAGACAAAATTTCATTGAAGCATTATACAGGGTGTCTATATTCAAAATGTATTATATAAGGAGAAATCTGATTATCTTTTGTGCGCCTCATCCTTGCTTTTGGTCAGAGATAAAAACACTTACCTTCACTGTCCTGATTCTGTTGGAAAGATCAGCTGATCTGCTCAATCAATCAATGTTCTCAACGTGTCCTGAATTCCAACTATTAGGAATCCAAGATTTTTGACTAAGGATACTCCCTTAAGGTGTCTCATGACATAGAATGGAGCACTAAAGGCAGCATGCACTTATCCTTTGCAATCCCATCGACAGCTACCAGCAAAATCAATACCAAGCCGAGGTTTATCAGCAAGCCTCAATGATAGCGAACAGCGTGTACATTATATTCGACACTCTGCTCACTGGCACAGGTAAACATTTAAAAAGACAGGATCTATACCAACTTTAATTCTCTGGATCGACAATACTGATCTCAGCTGAGGTTACCAAGATCACTGGAGATGAACACATGCAGTCTTTGGCATTTATCTTGCTAAGTAGGATGGGTTTTCTGGCTTCAGAGGAATATTTTTGGCTGGCTTTCAGCTCTGAGGTGGAACTGACAGTTTAGGTTGTGAGCACGTGCACAAGTGCACTTGAGCTGGCAAATCAGTTGCGCCAGCATGAGTTGATCTTACAGGCAATAGCAGAAGAGAGGGTAGAAAAGCTTACAAGAACCAAGGAGACCTGAAATAAAAAAGAAAATGCTCGAAATGAGAGAAGCAACAATCAGCTCTCAATTATCCACCAATTTCTATCATCTGCTAGGATTCCTTTCCATTACATGGATAACTGAGATTACACGGATAACTGAGATTACACTATATGATATTTTTAAGTATGGGTATAGAATCATGGCTTCTTGTTTTTTTTTTAACCACTTATACCACACACATTATTGGTATGCATTGAATGCAATAAAGGAATCCACTCTATCTTGCTAGAATCTTTTTGCTGGGCTACTTCCATTCAAAACAACCATTTAAATTGATGAGAATTGCTTTATTGCTAAACTTACTAGTTAAACTGAAATTGTCAACGTCTGATAACCAAATTGGAGAATATTAACAGAATACTCAGCACATGTCGAGCTGTCCTACTATTCTGGCAACAAGCTGGGAATTTAGAAGCTATTTTTGCCTCTGCAAAGTAACTAATGTAGTCAGAGTCCAAGCTACTTCACAGAGACAGAAATGGATGCTGAGCAGTATTAAATGAAAAGAACAAAGGACCAAAGATAGGCTAAAGGAAGTTTTTTTTATTTGCAAGGCTTTAGAAAGGTTCGAAGTGAAATAGAATACCACTGGGATCTAAAGAAAGAATGAAAGTAAAGCAACTTTTGCTGCTCAAACAAAAAATTACAAAAAGCAAATAAAATAAACAACTAGAGACACTGGAGATCTGAAACAAAAACAGATTTTGCTGGTGAACCTCAACAGGTCTGGCAGCATCTGTGGGAAGAAAACAGAGCTAATGTTTTGAGTCCAGTGACTCTTCATTAGAACTGCTCGTTAGCAATGAAGAAAATGCTGAAGATGAAATTGTGGGGGAGGCGAAAGGAAGAGAAGAGTGGACAGGTGGAAATGGAGCCCAGAGAGACAGATAGATATAGGAAATGGGTAGGTAGACAAGGGGATTATGGGTAATAGGTCAGGACAGAAGAAAAACTGAGTAAGTGATTACAAGAGCTAAGACTAGGAGAGAATAGGTGAGCTGTACTGAAAGCAACCCATATAATGTGATAATAGACCTAGGAGTAGGTGAGAATGGACTGTGTTAAAAGCAACCCATGTCATAACAGGACTAGAAAAAAAAACATGGATAGATGGAATCAGGCTCTAAACTAATTTAATTCCGTGTTGAATCCTGTGTTGGGTCCCCAAATGGAAAATGAGACATTCTTCTTCGAGCTTGCGCTGAGGCTCACTGGAATACTGCAACAGGCCTGCGATAGAAATTTTGGGGTGGAAACATGGTGGTACGTTGAAGTGGCAGGCAACTAGACACTTGGGGTCATTTTTCCAGACAGAACATAGGTGCTCTGCAAAGCGGTCACCCGGTCTGCATTTCATCTCTCTGGTGTAGAGGACTCCACATGGTGAACAGCAAATACAGGATACTAGATCGAATGAAGTAAGGTAAATCGCTGCTTCATCTAGAAGGTATGTCTAGGGCCTTGGATGATGAGGAGGGAGGAGGAAAACAAGCAGGTGTTAAACCTTCTGTGATTGCATGGGACGAGGATATGAGGAGACGTTGGAGTAGAGGAAGAGTGGATGAGAGTGTCCCAGAGGGAACAGTCCCTGCAGAATATTGACAAGCAAGGAAACAGGAGGAACACGTATGCCTGGTTGTGGGATTTCATTGGATATGAGAAAAATGGTGGATTATTCTTTCGAAACAGAGGCTGGTAGGGTGGTAAGTAAGGACTGGGGGAAGGGAAGCAGTGAGGGAAAAAGTATGGAGATGGGTTGAACCTGTAAAGGCCCTGTCGACGACGGTAGCAGAAAAAGCTAGACACTTGTGAGGCATCCCTGTGGAAGGTAGCATCGTCAGAACAGATGCGAAAAAGACAGAGAACTGGGAAAAGAAATGGAGTCCTTACGGGTAGCAGTGTGTGAAGATGTACAATGCAGATAACTGTGGAAGTCAGTGAGTTTGTACAGATATCAGTGGACAGCCTATCCTCAGAAATGGACACAGATGTTGAGGAAGAGAAGGGAGGAGTTGGAGATAGAAGGTGTGGTCAGGATGGAAATTGGAAGCAAAATTGATACATTTTTCTATTTCAGAATCAGAGGGAAGCAGCACTGATGATGTCATCGATGTACCAAAGAAAAAGTTGTCAGGAGGGTCCCAAATAGGATTGGAACAAGGAATGTTCCACATAACCAACAAAGAAACAGACAAAACTGAGGCCCATGCAGGTACCTAAGGCCGTACCTTTGACCTGAAGAAAGTGACAGGAGTTAAAGGAGAGGTTGTTAAAAGTGAGGACAAGCACGGCCAGGTGGAGGAGGATGGTGGTGGATGGGGACAGTTTAGGCCTTCTTTCCAGGAAGGAGTGGAGAGCCCTGTGATCATCCTGATGATCCGTGCAAACAGACTGCATGTCCATGATAAAGAGGAGGCAGGAGGAGCCCACAAACTGAAAATTCAGAAACCAACATAAATTGTCAGTGAATTGTGAATGTAAGTCAGGAGGGACTGCGCATGGGAAGAAAAGATAGAGTCAAGGTCAGAAGAAATAAGTTCTATGGGGCAGGACATGCAGACACAAAAAATGGTCTGCCAGGGCATTCCTGTTTGTTGATTCCAAGGAGAAGGTAGAAGCAGGCTGTATGCAGTTGGGGGACTTTCAGCTGGGTGGTTATTGCAGGGAAATGTAAAAATAAGATGAGATGGCAATAGGAGTGCACACAATGGCATGATCAATGGTGGGGTCACGGTCCAGGGGTAGTAAGGAGAAGATGTCCAAGAGCTGGCTCTCAGCTCCACAATGTAAATGACAGTACGCGTGACAACAACAGCACCACCCTTGTTGGCAGGCTTGATGAAAAAGACAGGATTGGATCTGAGAGCATGGAGTATAGTCGGTTAAGCCGGAGATAGGTTCAAATGGGTAAGATGGTGGTAGGGGTGGCAGAGCAATTAAGGCGACCGATGTCACATCAACAGTTCTCAATGAACAGGTTGACTGCAGGTAAAAAGGCCAGAGGGAGGGGTCCTGGTGGAAAGGTTATATTGGAGGTGGGTGAAGGCATCTGTGGTAAGGAGAGAGGACTTCTGTGCAAGGAAATGGGCATGGAAGTCAAGATGATGAAGAAGAGTTCAATATTATGTCTAGCCAGAAATTAACTGAGGTAGGGGTGCAGCGGGATGAATCTAAGACATTTATTGAATGTGGAACATTCAGCAGAGGCTGTAAGGTCAGAAGGAATAGTAAATACCCGCTAAGTGGTGGGGCCAAGAGAAAGGAGGGGAGAGGAGGAACATTCAGAGGGGTGTGGGTATCTTGGAGTGGTTTTAGCTTGTGTTCCTTAATGCCTGAAAGGTAGAGAAAATGTTTTGTGGTAGAACATTGATTGAGCTGGACACTGAAGTGGAACACCCATGTACTGTCTGACCTCGGGTGGCTATTTGCCTGCCACTTCAACATTTCTGTCACAGGCCTGCTGGAGTGTTCCAGTGAGCCTTAGTGCAAGCTTGAATAATAACATCTTATTTTCCACTTGGGGACCTTGCAGTTTCTGGAACTCAACAATCGAGCTCAATAACTTTAGAGCCTGATTCCATCCTTCCATGTTTTTACCCAACCCATGTCTGTTTTGACACGGGTCATACAGCTACTCCTAGGCCTATTATCACATCATATGGGTTGCTTTCAGTGCAGCTTGTCCATCTTCTCCATATTTTAGCTCAAATTAATCACTTAATCAGTTTTTCTTCTGTCTTGACTTGCTAACCATAATCTCCTTGCTTACTTACCCCTTTTTAAATCTCTATCTCCCTGGGCTCCATCTCCACCTATCTGCTCACCTCTCCCTTTCACCTCCTCCTGGCTTTGTCGTCAGCATAAATACCACATTTTCCTTGCTGCTAACAAACAGTTCTGTTGAAGAGTCACCGGACTCAAAATGTTAACTCTGCTTTCCTCGCACAAAAGCTGTCAGACCTGCTGAGTTTCACCAGCAATTTCTGCTTTTATTACAAAAAGCAAGTTTATGTCATATAATCAAAATAGAAAGGCTTTGAGTTTATTATTAAATCATTCTGACAAGGAGAATAAACTCCATTCAGAATTTCCCTGCGGCTCATCCTATATTAGCACAGTAACATCAGCAAATATTTAATAGAAATCTCAATTATACGCAGATACAACACCTGAACTTTAGTCTTAAGGTCAGGACCATTTCCGGGTCTCAACTCTCCACGTTAAAGCCTGACAACAACACA